CTCACCGCTGGACACCGGGCTCGGCCTTCTCTGGACGCGGACCTCCACGATGGCGCGGACGATGCTGCTGCTGGCGCTCCGCTTGCCGACGGCCTCCGTGATCCGCTCCGTCGTTTCCTTGACGACGGCCAGGCCTCGGCCGCTGTCGCCCGCCGTCTGAAACGCCACGCCAAGCAAAAGTTTATTTTCCGTCCATCTTTGGGGTTCAGGCACAGAACTGGTCAATTCTGCTAAATGATCTGTTCATGTTATCACAAACTTACTCCGGACACTAACACTAACACTTTGGGTGTTTTTTCTAAAATAAAAAACAGATTGCTGACTATCTATGACCTTTTTCGTGGCTTTTCACCTCCCTGCTCATCTTTCTTCTTAACAAAATGAAAAAAAAAAAACACTAAAACAAAAAAAAGATATTTACCCATTTCTACCCATCATGCCAGACTAATAATAATAATAATATATTTTATAATATAATAATATATATATATACATACATATATTTTTATAAATTATTTTATATATATATATATATATATAATATATTTTATAATAATTTTTTATAATATATTCAATATATTTTATATTTAAAAAGCGCCTTTGATGCCACTCAAGGACACTTTATAAAGACGTTCGTCATTAAAACAACAATGAAACACAAAAAGTCATAAATACATCATAAATAAAAACATCATAAATCAATTAAAATAAAATTGAAATGAATAAAACTGTGCAGAATGAGGGGAATGTTAGAGTTAGGGGCGGTGAGGTGGGTAAGAAATTTTAAACGGGTGGGTTTTGAGTTTTGTTTTGAAAAGGAGGGAGAGAGTCTGCATTTCGGAGTTCCGGTCACTTACAATCGCAACGTGGATCTCGTTGTCGGCCCCCAGCGACGGCTCGCAGGTCATGGCGAGTAACGAGTCGGAGGAGAGGTTCTGGACAGCGTAGAGGCTTCGGAGCTCACGACAAACCTGCTCCACCGTCACGCCCTGCGACACAACAGCGGATAAATCACGTTTATCTTCAGCAGTTCATTAAATATACCCCCCTAAGTCCTGTTTTTTTGTCTTTTGGACAGAAAGACGGAGCTCCGATATGAAATACACCTTTGCCATGACGTCTTTGTTGAAGCTGAAGGTGACGTTGACGCAGCCGCTCTCTGGGTAGCAACCGGCCGGCGCCGGGTGGGCGGGGCCCCGGCACTGGCCGCGGCCGGAGCAGGGCCGGACGAAGCAGCGGTCACCGCGGGCCGCCACGCAGGCCTCGCCGGCCGGACACTCGGTGCCGTGGGTCTTACTGTGGAGGCTGCAGGGTTTGGGTTTGCACCAAAGCTGTCGGGAGGCAAAAGAAAGGAGATTTTTTTTTTTAAGGCGCGACAAAAAAAAAGGCGTGTTTTTAAATCTTGGGCGGGATATCCGTCGGCTCTACCGTTGTGCAGACGGCCATCCCGTCGTGACACTGGCACCTGTTACAGTCTTCGGACCAACTGCTCCCGTCCAGAGCTACCGATCCCTCGTGCACACAGGGCCTCCCGGCTACTGGAACACAGAACCCCCCCCCCCAGTCAGGTCCGAGCTCACACAGAACAGTTTCCTCCCTCACTACAGGACTGTCTCAGAAAATGATAATATTGTGATAAAGTTCTTTATTTTCTGTAATGCGATTAAAAATCATGAAATGTCATACATTCTGGATTCATTACAAATCAACTGAAATATCGCAAGCCTTTTATTGTTTTGATATCGCCGATTATGGCTTACAGCTTAAGAAACCCAAATTTTCTCTCTCAAAATATTAGAATATCGGATTTTTGAGTTTTCTCCAGCTGTACGCCATAATCGGCTATATTAAAACAATAAAAGGCTTGTGATATTTCAGTTGATTTGTAATGAATCCAGAATGTATGACATTTCATGATTTTTAATTGCATTACAGAAAATAAAGAACTTTATCACCATATTCTAATTTTCTGAGACCGTCCTGTATGAATGTAACCCTGGTATTCTAAACCATCAAGGTCCACTGGACCCTTCACGTGCAGCCAAAAAAAAATCTTGTTTCACATCTCGTAGCGATCAGTGAATGCTATTCTGGCCTGATGTTGTTCTGAACCTCTTTAATTTCAATGAGAGCACCTCCATCTTTGCATACATGAGCGCACAGAGAGCAGAAAGGAGAAGTTACCCTCTTTGCAGTGGGGGCCGGTTCTTCCCGGAGGGCAGACGCAGAGGTAAGCGTTGATCTGGTCGATGCAGGTGGAGCCGAAGGAGCAGGGGGAGGACTGGCACTCATTGATGTCTGGAAAAGATGGGTGACCACCGTTCTATACGATTGTCTTTTATACATCCACTGTTCATCAGTTCCTTTAAATCCTTCTCTAAATAACAGGCTAGCAGCTGAGTCCCATTCTGTCTCAGATATTAATGGTGAAATCTAATGCTAGTGAACAGACAGAGTAAAAATTGGAAGGTTTAGCTACAACAATAAGTGTGCAGCTGCCTGTTGCCCAATTTGTCTGGAGGCCTCATGATGCTCAGGGACAGTAGCAGAATAAAAAAAGACAAAACGAAAAAGACCGAGGATAATCTCTCGTCTCTTACTGATTCTGCAGTCGGGGCCGGCAAATCCAGGAGCGCATTCACACCGATACCAGTTGTCCCCGTCAATACAGGTGCCGCTGTTGTAACTGCAAAAGCACAGTAACACACACCAATAAAGGGAAAAATACTCCTTTTGAGAGGGTTTAGAGTGAAGACAACGATGTGACCTCCCAACCACCACCAGAAAAATAAAGTAAGAGACTGGCTTTAAATACTCATCATTTAATAAATGTTGATTAAGAGTCTAATCCTGATAAGCCCATGAGGTCTCTGTGCCCGTCAGTGCTTTAGCTAATGCTATATTTGCATACTAATTCTTTCATAAAAGGAACCATAAGTATATTTCAGTTCAACATACCACGGATGAGGACTGCAGTCATTGGTATCTGATGGGGAAAAAAAAAAGAAGCAGGAAACTGTTATAGCAATTTTTTGTTGTTTTTATCAAACTTTACTGTCTCAGTGGATCTTTAAGCAAAGCAGGAAAGTAGCAGCGGATTTGTTGAAAGATTGCGACTGTGGCTGAGTGTCTGTTGTGGTTTTAAGTCTTGCTCTGAAAAGCTGCCTTTCAGAGCGACGCTCGCTTTGCAGCAGGAAGTCGGCGTGCGTGTTGTGTGAAACACTGCGTCACAGCTACTTGTGTGTATTTACTGTATGTCGCAACCTCGCTGACGTATTTGAGCTTTTGACTTGTGTCTTTACGTTGTGTTCTTGTAGATTCTGATCAGACATTAGTAGTGACGCACAGCAGCATCGTGGCTGCGGATATAAATGCTTTAAAGTGGAATACACGGCAGCTTTTCCAACATTATTTACAGTGGGGGAAATAAGTATTTGACCCTTTGCTGATTTTGCAGGTTTGCCCACTTACAAAGAATGCTTATTTTTCCGTATCAGATGGTTATCGATTTTTATAAATTAATATGATGTGATTTTCTGGAATTTTCTTTGGGATTCTGTCTTTCACTGTTAGAATGTACATATGATTAAGGTTTTAGATTGTTGCATTCTTTGTAAATGGGGAAACCTGCAAAATCAGCAAGGGGTCAAATACTTATTTCCCCCAATGTATCTTCACGGTGATGGGTGACTCACTGTGGATGCAGGTTTGGCCTTCCCAGCCCTCCTTACAGATGCAACTGAAGGAGACTCCGTCCACCACGCAGGTTCCTCCATTCTGGCAGGGGTTGGGCATGCAGCTGCTGTTCTTTGCTGGAGAAGCCAAAGACTCCGTCAGTTTCCCGATAAACGAGGAGCTTCCGCGTTCGGCCGAACGGGTCATGTCACACTCACCCACGCTGCAGCTGGATCCCTCCCAGCCGGCCGCGCACAGGCACCTAAAGGCGCTGCCTTCGTCGTGGCAGGTCCCCCCATTGTTACACGTCCTCTCGTCACACTGACTGTCCCCTGGAAGTCGGGAAAAAATCCTCGGTTAGCCCATCCACAACTGGGAAGCTCTAATCACGCGCATCCCTTTTTTTGCATAGATTGAGCTTGTTCAGTTTTATCAGCTGCTTAACTCATTGGCTGCCAAAGACGTCTATAGACGTCAATTCAAATACAACCGTTGACTGCCAAAGACATCTATAGACGTGTTTTGTGTTTTTCAACGAGAGTGGCTTGGGTGACGATCTGCTAAAGCTTGTCCGTAAATATCAGGCTTCTAGACAGAGTATGTAGTAACAAATTGACCCTCTAGGTGGCAGTGCAACTTTTGATGGGAGATTAGCATAGACTGTAGGCAAATAAGAAAAACGTAACGGTTCGCTATGAGAGAACATGTCGCCAGTGAGACGCAAGTCGAGGAAGGACGGAATAAGGTAGAAACAATTTTTTTTTCCTGATGAAAGAAGAGAGTCTACTCTTTCTTTTGGTGTGTTCGGTGTTTACATAGTCATAGCACAAACTATTCTGTGGCTCTTGAAAAATCAGTCAAAATGCTAAAAAAACTCTGGCAGTATGGGACTCTCATTGTCTGGCTGGCAGTCAATGAGTTAATATAGATCTCATCTTTCACATTTAATGACTCTAACAAACAATTGAATACGCACAATTGTCCTCGAAAAATGCCCAGCACTTACTTGAACTACAGGTTTTTCCCTTCCAGCCGTTGTTACATTCACAGTAAAAGTCACTGATGAGATCTCGGCATATGCCCCGATTCTGACAGGGAGCGGAGCTGCAGTCATCGATATCTACAAAGA